CAGTTAATCTCATCTCTTCCAACCGAGTTTAGACAGGCAGCAGCTCATATACCACAGTCACAGGAACTATGCGATCTACTGGACGAACTAACGCTTACCATAGACTACTACCACAAAAACGTGCAAAAGCTGCATGGATACTACGAAACCAACAAGGTACGCTTCTAACATCCAGCTAAGTGTCTCATCTACTACCGCTACCTCACATATTCAGAAACAATGGATGCCTATGCTTTCAGCAAAAATACATCTCAACCAGACTGCAGACAGAAACGCCGAGCCTAGCAGGCAACCGCTGGGATTGGATGAATGCAACAGAAGAATGATGTACATCAGCATCATCATGCATCGCCTATCACCAGACCTTCACCAGCACCACCACACATCGGCAGCGCTACTACCACCGAAGACAACTATTTGTGTACGCCGACTTAGAGATCAGCTACCGTGTATAGCTTTTCCACTATAAAATACTTATCCCTGTAATATATTTCAATAGACCTGTATAACCTCTGAACGTGCTACCGCGCGAGCGCGCGGAATCGCACGCCAATCGACTAGTTCCAAACATTTTGCACCGTGCCGCGGCCCGCAAGTGCCACCCTGCGTCTCGTCTCTCGCCGGCACGGCAGCGGATGCGCCGAACAGCTCGCGTGCCACGCACGGGACGGCGATTATGTTTTGGACGATCCGTGAGCTCCAATTATCAAAGCGCAATGCTTCTTTGTGAAGCCACCTATGGAGTACTGTACGTACAGTTGCAAGCATAAACAAACTCGGCGCGTATCTCCAGAAATGCTGCTCCCCCGGGCGAAACCGGCCCTGCCTGCCTGACCGATGGAATCTCGAGCGGTTCGTGCACCTGCAAAAGCGTGCACCACCGCCGAAGTTGAAGTTGAAACCTGGCAATACAGGATGGTTTAACAATGAGTTTTATAATATAATAACCAGCGTATATGATTCTGCCCCAAGTTGTCAAATGTCAAGGGCTCAAGGCCAAAGCAACAGTAGTAAATTCAATGCCGACGACGGAACCCAAGATGTGCATCTTCAGCCAGTGCGTGCCCACCACCTCGTAGCAGACAAACCAGAGCTAGCCTGGCGGGATGGAGCCGTCGGCGCTCCACCCGTTGCCCTCGGGCGCTCGAACGCCATCTCTAGAAAATCACCAAAATCTATCAGAATTCTTCCTAGATCCAACTAAAATTCTTCTTCCAACTCTAGATCAGCCCCTACCTCTCGTTGATCTACCATTTGATGGGTTTTCTTCCCCTAGGCGAGGCTGTGGTTGGGATGGAGCCGCCCCTTTGGTAGGCAGCCGGACGGTAGGGCCGTCGTCGCTTGGTCCTGCTCTGCCAGTCGAGCCGTCGTCGTCTGCTGTCGCTTTGCTGGCCAAGCCGTTCGCCGCGGCCTCACATCCTACCGTTCATATGCCGCAAGCTGGGGGAGGGATGACTCCCTCCCACCGACCAAACCCGCCCCCTCCACTCGGCGACGTCGGCGCAGCCACGCCTCCTTCTTCGCCAATCTGCCAACCCAGCCCGGATCCCATCCTGTCAAACCCAGATCCTCGCTCCCCAGGACCTGATCTACCGAGCCATGTCCTTCTTGCGGGCAACAAGCATGGGGTTGATGGCTCCTGCTCGTGTCGTTCCTGGGCAGACGAAGTTGAGCAGGAGGAGGTTGCTCGGAGTGCTGGGAGTCCCTGCAGCTACCTCCGCTTGTGGCGGCAGCTCATGCCAGCTTCGTCCATCGTTTGAGCTCACTCGACCCCGATGCGGAGCCCTTCGCCACTTCTTCAGGGGAGGGGGTCGGAGGAGAGGCTACGCTTCACCGACTCGGAGGCATCGCTTGACGACTCCAACGCACCTCCATCGTCTGGACGATGTTAAGGCCGTTTTGCTGCTGCGGCTGCAGCGTCGGCGCCATCGTCCACGTCCACGTCGGGGGCGTCAGCCGAGCGTGCGGCTGTCATTGACGTACCGCCCTCGCCGGCTAGCATCTATTGTCGTCCTCCCGGTGCGCATGTCGGTCTAGCCGGACGAGGATGGCTTTAGGCAGGTGCACAGCAGGAGGCGTTGGCGGCGTCCCGCAGCGCCGCGTAGACTGGTGCCATCGTACTTGATCGGCGAGTGCTTCAACTGCCTTGCCGGCAACCACGTGCGAGCCGACTGCATGTTCTAATCCAAGTGCTTCACCTACAAGGATGTCGGCCACCAGGTGCGCGACTGCCCCCAGGCACCGGTTGTCAGTCGCTGGGCGGGAAAACGTGGTTGCTGCCCTTGGCGTGCCCCTCGATTGCGTCAGGGCGCTCGTCGGTGTCAGCTTTCGCCCGGTTGTTGGTTGCCGGTGGACACTGCCTCTGTGTGCTCTGTCTCCACCGGCAGGGAGCTGTCTGTGCCACCGGTGTGCGAGCCTCCTACTCCGGAGCCTCAGGTCGACGTGCTGGCTGCGGAGACGTCAGGCCCTGTGGCCGCAGGGCGGTGCGAACCTGGATGCCTTTAGCGGTGACGCGGGCGGTGATGCGAATGTTGCTAGCGATCCTGTTATGCCCAAGCGCCTACGTCGCATCTCGCGCTCCCTGCTCAAACGGGTTGAGGCGCCGTCGGCATCATCACGGTCGTGGACCACCCGATTCACTAGAGCAGACGAGCCAACCTTCCATACACAAGAGTGGTGGATGGCCATCATGATGCGTCAGCGCGGTTTTCCGCCACGCGAGCGACTGTGTGTCGAACCGTTCGTGGACAACCAGTTTGACTTCGCGCTCTGACGCCCTGGCTCGCCCTCTCCTATCAAACGGGCAGCGATCGACCCGATGCTTATTGAGGCATCGTTGTGCACGCAGCGGAAAGTTGTCAGCGACAGCGGCGCACAACCTCTCTCCATCGACATCGATCCGCGCGTCGGGCGAGTGTGCCACACTCGTCACCTTGGCATGGTGCGGTCTGCCCTAGAGGCGGAGTTCGAGCTGATGACGGGCCAGGTGACCTGTGTCCCAATTGGGCCTTGTGATGGCCCTGACTTCCTTTTTGGATGCGTGTTTGATAGGGACCAGGCTGGTCCACAGATTCCATAGACAGCCATGGCGGTGGACCTGTGCCTCTCGGGCCCTGATGACTGCGGATACGGCCACAACTCTCTCAGGCCGCACCTCATGACGCCGGAGCTGGGGGAGGAGTCTCCGGTTTTATCCGTTGAGATCGCCGGACCTGAGCAGGCTGGGGCACCCTTGTCCACGCCACAAACTGTAGAGGCCTCCGAGCTCGGGGGTGATGCAGTCTTGATACTTCGCCTCGGTCAGTCGACTGCCCTGAGTTCATCGACGATGCAGCTATCCACACTCCGGTGCCTCCGCTGCAACCGATGCCGGTCGATGTTTATCTCCACGTTCAGGAAGGCACTGTCGCAGCTCGTCCTCCCGTCGCCGCCACGCCTACAGGTCACCAGGTCAGCAAGGGCACGGGCAATTGAGGATGATGAGCTCGTCCCCAAACGGAGCGCTCGCCTAGCTGCGAAGAGCAAGTACAGGGAGCAAAATCCCGAGGCGCAGGCGAGGAAGGTGATGATGAAGCGCCTTGGAGTTCCAGACTGCCTTCAAGCTGTCGTTATCGTCGTCAACACGGGAGGCCATGCAGGTTCTATTTCCAGGTAGGAAGCAACGGCCTCTAGGGCTATTCGCGCCGCCTAGGCGTTACCCTTATTATGTCATAATATTTGGTGGCAAAATTACATCCCAATATAATATCGAAAAGGAATTGGGTAGTTCGGTAAAACTTCTTTTCTGTTAATGAAAAACGAGTCTATCCCGATCGCGAAAAAAAAACTCGTAGCAGACGCATTGCTTAAGCGCCACCTGCCATTGCTCCCAACTGATGCTCACGCACAGGGTGCTGCCTCCGTGCCTCGAGGCGTGCATGCACCAACCCCCCCCCCCCCAAAGAATCTCTCGTCAGGAAGGCCGTGCGCCTGTGCGGCTGTGCCCATGCTGAAGTTGTGTGAGCGAGAGGCTGTCCGTTGCAGCTTGCAACTTGCAAGGGCAAGTGCCCTCGATCATATGTGGGAAAAGGCTGGCGCACCAATTATCAGGCCTGATAGGGTGTCTAGTTTAGGTTAGTCTAAGCCAAAGTTTAGTCTAAGCCAAATTTGATGCAATGCAAATCGATACTCCCGATTTTGCGCCAGAAAATTTGCCTCCAGATTTTACTGCACAAAGCGGAGCCAGCAACAGTCAGCCTATTCGGTTGGCTGATTCGTATCGTTGCTGGTTCGTTTATATGAGAGAAAAATATTGCTAGCTGATTCAGATGAACAGTGCTTCTGTGAGAGGGCTGGCCAGCCCGCCCCAGCCGATCGAGTCGAGTATCTTCTAATCCACGCAAGTGGATTCACATGCCCTGACCGTGACCGTGATAGCTCACGGTTTTTGCTTGTAAACACTGAGACGGTTTTTGTTTTGCAACAGAGACGCTTTTTGTTTTGGCGCGATTCGTCTCTGTCGGGATCCAGAACCCGCCACCACGTCATACGCGAGGGGCCCGTCTCCTTTGGCTGTCGTTTGGCTTGTGCTTGTCGTATACAATCGTAAATTTTTAGCTGGAACAATATTTTTTTCTCATATAAATCAATCAGCAGTATTTTTTTATAAACCAGCAACGACATGAACCAGCCAACCGAAGAGCGAGCCTGCCGAACCACTCCGTCCTCCAAAAACCACGGGCTGTGTCTGTGTGGCCCCTTCCGTCGCGCGGTATCTGCCCGAACCGTGGGCTATCCTATCTCGCACCGCTGTTTGCCCGTTTCAGTTTTATCCCGTTCCCGCTCGTGCATCCGAGGACGGGCAACGGTAGGCCGCGGTGCTGCCGAGCCCGTCCCCGTCCCAGTCCCTGTCCACCCGCCATATATACCCCAGCTCCCCGCCTACCGAGCTCAACTCAACTATAGACTCACCAAACCTGCATTGTAGTCGTCCGTCCACCGCCAGCAGAACCGCAGCAACCATGGCCACTTCGCTCGCCTGTGCTGGCTTCTTCTTCGACACCGAGCCGATCGGCGAGCCCCGCCTGCCTGCGTTGAACGCGTGCGCGCTCTGCTCCAAGCCGCTCACCCGCAACAGCGACATCTTCATGTACAAGGGGGACACCCCGTTCTGCAGCGAGGACTGCCGCTACGAGCAGATGCACCACGACGCGGCCTACGCGAGGCAGGCCAGCCGCAGCCGGTGGAAGCAGCAGCAGCAGTCGCAGCGGAGCAGAGGAGCCTCTGTGGTCGCCAAGGCAGACGTGTACGTGGCCAGCTAAGCAGAGTGTGGCCGAGGAAGAAGCAGAAGATCGTGCTGCTTCAAGCAGCTACAGCTGCAAGAGATCCCGTTAGGGGAGGCGCTCCTGCCTGGCCGACGACGGCCGGCGTTGCGCCGCACAAAGAGTTTTGGGCGCGGAACAGAGGCGAGCGGGGGATGGATCTGACTGAGGACTGAAGATGGAAATAAGGACAGATCGGCCTGACCTGCGGGTTGGAAACTTAAATCGACGCCAAGCGTGCTCTGCTCCCGTTGTTTCTGTTTTCCTCGGTTGGGTCTTTTGGGTTGTGTGTGGTAGCTAGAAGTTGAGGTGTGAGGGTCTGTGCGGGAGCACCATCGATCGGCCTGTAAATGTACGCGGCATTTCAACAAGTTACGAGAGCCCTGAAATTTTGATCGCAAACGATTATTGTTCAGTTGTTCCTGACTGCTTTTTTGTGTGCTTTCATGTGTTTTGAGTGATTGCTTTCGCACCAACCGCACGGTACTTTAATTTTTGTGTGCTTTCATAGTTGCGTCTTGGATCCGTCAGAAATCTGGAGAGTAAACAAAAATCTGAGACCGAACAATAATCTGACAGTGCAAGTGTTCCAGATAGAGTTATAATGCTATGTTCATTTGGCTGATAAGTCATGGTTAAAAATACTCTTGACTGATTTATTAAGAGAGAAAAATATTATTGATTGATTAAAAAAATATGGTTTATAAGCAAGTATAGAGTATGTTTATCCGGTGTATACCATCTTTCCGTCAGTGTCAAGCTACTCAAACAAAAGATCCAAAATGGTCTAATTCATTGCACCCACGTCAGATACGTTGAACTCCACAGTTTTCTTCATCTTTTGTGTACTTCTCACTACTCATCGCTGAGTCACCGGAGAGTCAGTCCCCCACCCAATCATGCAGCGAGAGACGTCACGGGCCCATGGGTGTGGAGAAAGCCCGTGGTCCGTGGAGGCGCAGATCCAACATGTGTCGAGTCACCAGCTGCCTATGCCTTGTTGTGCGTGACTCACCGCCTGCGCAGCAGCCAGCAGCAGTGTCGCACGGGGTATGGCCCGCCGTCCACGCCAAAACCAGAGCCCCCCGCACGCACTTTTACGCGTCATCCTCCACACCCGTTGCCAAGGTCTGCACCCAATTAAAACTTTATTATGGGTATGTATTTGTTCAACAAGATTTATTTAGTGAGATATTTTATGTGCCAATGTTTTACTTTTAGATTTTTATTATATTTGCTTATCACATAGTAATACACATGTTTAGATAATGTTCTAGTGTGTCCTTGCGTAATTGATAGTTATATTATCTCTCGGTGTTACGCTCTAAATAAATTACTAAACCATGTCATGAGCATCATGTTTACATAGTAATACACGTGATGGAATGTATAGATGAAGTATTGCAACCTAAAATGATCAATAAAAATGTAAAATGAGAAGCTATTACACAACTCATGTATATTAAGTAGGGTTTAAAACAATTTTTTATTGAACAAAAATACTATAAAACATATATGTGGCGCTTAAAAAAAGTTTGGAATATGAACTTTGTAGATGACAATTAAATACTTGTTGTGGAAGAATAACATTGCAAGCCAACATTTCTAATAGCCTAAAAATGGAACTTGAAATCAAATTCAGCTCAAGGACTTAGAAGAATTTAAGTATATATAAGCAGCAAGATAGTACAATGTTTCGCGATTTATTTTGTGAAATCGAGTCAGGAGGTGGTGTCGTGTGTTTAGCTCGGGTTGGTAGCCTCATATGCCATCTTGAGCATGGTGAAGATGTTTTAGGTCCAGAAGTAACCGTTTAGTTGTTATAGGTGCTTTAAAATGCGTGCACGAAACGTTCTCGGCCTAACTCGCCGGGTGGCGCGGTCACCCAGCTCGGGCGCTCGGCGTCGCCGCGCGTGGTGGTCGTGCATCGCCAGACGTGGCCGGCCCATGGTGCCTCGCTTTGGTCTGCTGGCTCGGCCGCCATTGACCGTCATATGGAGTCATTGCTGCTCACCACTCTTCCCGCGCCCGACGACGGTTTACTACAGCGCCCGTCACCTTGTCATCGCGTTCAAGATCGCTACCTCGCCGCCTCACGTTGCCGCCACCGATGCCACCGTGACGTTGGTCAGGTCTTCAGGCCGCTCGCTCTATCACCGCGGGCACGTGGGCTGTCCCGCCGCACCAGCGACCCTCCCTGTGTCGCGACACAACCGCAGCGGGTGCCGTCGCCTCACCGTCATGTCTGTGCCTTCCTCTGCACCCCTACCCCACCTTTGGGCGGTTTGGTGCTTCGCCGCGCCCCCGTGCACGCAGAGCTGGTCGACGCTTGCCATTTATGGCACCACGTCCACGCAGTTATGCCGGTCGTGGACGTGCGTGCTTGTCCTCAACACCTACGCGTGGGCCTCCATGATCACGCCGACCGCATCCCGCCAAGGCGAGGCCGAGCCGAGCCCACTCCGCCGCCGCTTCCATCTCTCTCTCTCTCTCTTTCTCCTCTCGCTACCGCCGAGCCGCTACGCCTTCAAATTACCCAAATAACGCTCACCTCCATTCAATTCAGTGCATCCACGGTTTTAACATCACGTCCTCTTGCCGCCCGACCCCATCCAGCCTTGAACCGTGTAAGGCCAAGCTCCAATTTGGAGTTTTTCCCGCCGCCATGCCATTAAGGCCGCGCTCGGCCACGGTCGAGGGCAGCCCTCCGACCGCCCATCCCGAACCAATTCACCTGCACCACTAGCATCGCCTTGACTCCCTCTTCACCCTGCGCGGCTTAACCGAACCGCTACCGCCTCCCTATCATCGCTGACGCGACCGTGCCACCGCACGGCTTGTCCACACGTGGCCATCCCTTCTTCATCACCCTCTTCTCCAACCGTCACCTCAGCTAGGTCCATGGTAGTCTACTGATGCTCACTCGCTAGCCGGTTAGGTCCTTAGGTGCCCTGGTTCATCAGAGCGTCCCCCATCACGGATGGGCGCGCACCACCATAGCTCGCTCCAATGCATCCCGTCGCCCTGCGTTGCTGCTCGGTGTAGGCGGTTGGACCATAGTTGAGTGTCGGCCTGATCGACGAGCCAATGTGGGTCTCTTGTGGCCACCCCATGCCACCGCTCGCCGCGCCGCCGGGCACGGGTTAGCCAGGGGTGCGCGTGGGACCATTCCAGGGTAGCGATCGACCCGATGCTTATTGAGGCATCATTGTGCACGCAGCGAAAAGTTGTCAGCGACAATGGCGCATGGCCTCTCTCCATCGACATCGATCCGCGCACGGGGCGAGTGTCCCACACTCGTCACCTTGGCATGGTGGGGTCTGCCCTAGAGGCGGAGTTCGAGCTGATGACGAGCCAGGTGACTTGTGTCCCAATTGGGCCTTGTGATGGCCCTGACTTCCGTTTTGGATGCGCGTTTGATAGGGACCAGGCTGGTCCACAGATTTTAGAGACGGCCATGGCGGTGGACCTATGCCTCTCGGGCCCTGATGACTGTAGATCCGGCCACAACTCTCTCAGGCCGCACCTCATGACGTTGGAGCTAGGGGAGGAGTCTCCAGTTTTATCCGTTGAGATCGCCGGACCTGAGTAGGCTGGGGCACCCTTGTCCACGCCACAAACTGTCGAGGCCTCCGAGCTCAGGGGTGATGCAGTCTTGATACTTCGCCTCAGTCCGTCGACTGCCCTAAGTTCATCGACGATGCAGCTATCCGCACTCCGGTGCCTCCGCTGCAACGGATGTCGGTCGATGTTTATCTCCACCTTCAGGAAGCCACTGTCTCAGCTCGTCCTCCCGTCGCCGCCACGCCTGTAGGTCACCAAGTCAGCAAGGGCACGAGCAATTGAGGATGATGAGCTCGTCCCCAAACAGAGCGCTCGCCTAGCTGCGAAAAGCAAGTACAGGGAGCAAAATCCTGAGGCGCAAGCGAGGGAGGTGATGATGAAGCGCCTTGGTGTTGAGGTGGAGACACAACTCCCTGACGAGGCTTCGTTTCAGGAGTTCCAGACAGCCTTCAAACTGCCGCTATCGTTGTCAACACGGGAGGCCATGCAGGTTCTATTTCCAGACAGGAAGCAGCGGGCCTCTAGGGCTATTCGCGCCGCCTAGGCGTTACCCTTATTACGTCATAATATTTTGTGGCAAAATTACATCCCAATGTAATATTAAAAAGGAATTGGGTAGTTAGGTCAGTCACACACCGTGATGTTGGCTTCTCGTCGGGCATCGTCTAGTATCTCCGTAACGAATTAAAAACTTCTTTTCTCTTCGTGAAAAACGAGTCTTACCCGATCGCCAAAAAAAACTCGTAGCAGACGCATTGCTTAAGCGCCACCTGCCATTGGTCCCAACTGATGCTCACGCACAGGGTGCTGCCGCCGTGCCTCGTGGCGTGCATGCACCAACCCCCCCTAAAGAATCTCTCGTCAGGAAGGCCGTGCGCCTGCCCATGCTGAAGTTGTGTGAGCGAGAGGCTGTCCGTTGCAGGGTGTCTAGTTTAGGTTAGTCTAAGCCAAAGTTTAGTCTAAGCCAAATTTGATGCAATGCAAATCGATACTCCCGATTTTGCGCCAGAATATTTGCCTCCAGATTTTGCTGCACAAAGCGGAGCAAGCAACAGTATCTTTCTAATCCACGCAAGTGGATTCACATGCCCTGTCCGCGACCGTGATAGCTCACGGTTTTTGCTTGTATAAACACTGAGACGGTTTTTGTTTTGCAACAGAGACGCTTTTGTTTTGGCGCGATTCGTCTCTGTCGGGACCCAGAACCCGCCACCACGTCATACGCGAGGGGCCCGCCTCCTTCGCCTGTCGTTGTGATACGGGTGGACCCGTGGACGCTGGCACACACAGCAGCCGCCATCAAGCCGAGTCAGCCTATCACCGCACCAATCACCATGGCCCGCCAGGCCGCCACCAAACACAAGAGCGAGCCTGCCGAACCACTCCGACCTCCAAAAACCGCGGGCTGTGTCTGTGTGGCCCCTTCCGTCGCGCGGTATCTGCCCGAACCGTGGGCTATCCTACCTCGCACCGATGTTTGGCCGTTTCAGTTTATCCCGTTCCCGCTCGTGCATCCGCGGACAGGCTATGGTAGACCGCGGTGCTGCCGAGCCCGTCTCCGTCCCCGTCTGGACTGGTTTGATTCATAAGTTATGTCGAAAGTACCGATGATCGATATATAAGTCAAATAAACCTAAACGAACCTACCAAAATAAGGTCTCAATAAAAAAACAAGATGATGGAACCTTTTGAAGCGCATCACACAGTTGTTGGGCGCTTAGGATGACGCGTAAAAGTGCGGGCCGGGAGGCTCGCTGGTTTTGGCGTGGACGGCGGGCCATACGTGCGCCGCTGCTGCGCAGGCGGTGAGTCACGCACAACAAGGCAGCCGGTGGTTCGACACATGTTCGGTGTTTGTGTCCACGGACCACGGCTTTCTCCACACCATTGGCCCATGACGTCTCTCGCCGCATGATTGGGTAGGGGACTGACTGACTCTCCGGTGACTTAGGCCTTATATAAAAGTTTACTCCTTATCCATCGATCGATTGTTTGACACGTGCATGAGTATTAAATATAGACTAAAAAATAATTAATTATATATTTTACGACTAATTTGTGCGACGAATATTTTAAGCCTAATTAATTCCTGATTTGATAATGTGGTGCTATAGTAACACATGTGCTAATGACAGATTGATTAAGCTTAATAAATTTGCCTCACGGATTACCGGCGGATTCTGTAATTTGTTATTTTTATTAGTCTCCGAACATCTCATGCAACACCCTCACGTGATATCCGATCTGACACCCTAAAATTTTACAAACTATCAGCCTGTTCGCTCGTTGGTTTCAGCCAGCCTAAACCAGTCAACCAACAGTGTTTTTCTCAAAAAAAAACCAGCATCAGTCAACCTAAACCAGCACCAGCCCCAACCAGCGAGCATGCCCTATATTTAAACCAGTCCTCAAGTATTGAGACCTAGAGAAAAGATAAAGAAAATTATGGAATTCAACGCATCTGACGTGGGTGCAATGATTTAGGCCATTTGGGATCTTTTTGTTTAAGTATAAAAAGCTTGACACTGACGGAAAGATAGTACAGTACTGTGTATAGTCCGGATAAACATTTGTAATCGCATTTAGAACTCTGGTTACGCTACTGGGACAATTGCGCAGTTGTTTCCTTGACATTTCAGCTCCTCTGTTACATTCTACTACTCTCTGTCATTTTCTCGCTTAGGAACTTCACGTACACCTATCCGTTCACTCGCAGATTTCCGACAGATCCAAGGCGCGACTTGTCGGTATATGGATTGGGGATGGGGATCGAAAACCAAAAGAACTGATTATTGCTCACTCAGATCTCGGGCGCGGTCTTCGTCTCAAAGAAGACCTGCTGGCATCGTTTGCCAAGCTTCGTCTGGCCAACAATTCCAAAGCACACAGAAAGTACCGTGCGGTACCGCAGTTGGTGCGAAAGCAATCACTCAAAACACATGAAAGCGCACAAAAACGCAGTCAGGAACGAGATAAGTTTGCGGTCAAAATTTCATGACTATCATAACATGCTGCAATGCCGTGTACATTTACAGATCGACGGTGCTCTCGCACACCCCCTCAGGCCTCAACCTCTAGAGCACACAACCCAAAAGATCCCATCTCAGGGAAACAGAAACAAGGGGAGCACGCATGGTGTTGATTCAAGTTTGCAACCTGCAGGTCAGGTCGATCTGTCCTAATCGCCTTCTTCAGTCTTCAGATCAGATCCACCCCCCGCCTGCCTCTGTTCCGCGCACAAAACTCGTTGTGCGGCGCAGCGCCGCCCGGCCAGCCAGGAGCGCCTCCCCCAGCGGGATCTCTTGCAGCTGTAGCTGCTTGAACCAGCACGATCTTCTTCTTCGTCGCAGACCAGGCCTCGCTGGGATTGCTTTTAACTAGCTGGCCACGTACACGTCCGCCTTGGCGGCCACAGAGGCCCCCCTGCTCCGCTGCGACTGCTGCTGCTTCCGCCGGCTGCTGCTGGCCTGCCGCGCGTAGGCCGCGTCATGGTGCATCTGCTCGTAGCGGCAGTCCTCGCTGCAGAACGGGGTGTCGCCCTTGTACATGAAGATGTCGCTGTTGCGGGTGAGCGGCTTGGAGCAGAGCGCGCAGGCGTCCAGCGCGTGCCGCCCGGGCTCGCCCAGCGGCTCCGCGTCGAAGAAGAAGGCGCAGGCCACCGACGTCGCCATGTCTCGTCTGGCCTCTCTCTGGCTTGCTTGTTGGTGTCTCTATGGACCAGCTTTGCCAAATGCTTTTGCTGCTTTGGAGACTGGGGAGGAGTGGGGAAAGAGAGTGCGTGCGAGTTCCGCTGCTCTGGTGAGCTTGGCTCGCAACGAAGTGGACGGGGGGCGCATTTATTGTTGCGAGCTGAGGAACACGACAAGCGGGCCTGACGTGGAGCTTACAAGAAAGGCCAGAGAAAACCGTGGGTGGTTCTCGAACCAGGCGGCGACGGGAGCGAGACGGCCCAACGCGCCTGCCTATATCACTGTGTGCCCAGTGCCTGCCTCCTTATTGCGGTCTTCGATCCGAACCAAAAATGATCATGGATGGTACTCTATTAGTCTTCGATAGAACATCTTCGTGCCTGTTTAGTTCTAAAATTTTATAAAATTTTTTAAGATTCTCTGTCACATGGAATCTTTAACGCATGCATGAAGCATTAAATATAAATAAAAAATAAAACTAATTACACAGTTTAGACGAAATTCACGAGACGGATCTTTTAAGCATAATTAGACTATGATTGGACACTAATTGCCAAATAACAACGAAAATGCTATAGTACCATTCCAAAAAAAAACGTCAACTAAACAAGGCCTATGTATGAAACCTATTTTGGGTTACATCAGAGACACAACCTAAATATGAATATCATCTCTCCTGTAGACTCATCTGTAGAAAGTGCTTTTTTTACCTGTCGTTGGAAAAGACAAAAATTAGTTATCGAACCATTTACATATAACGCTACCCAAATATAAAATGGATAGCCCTGAAATTTTGATCGCAAACGTATCTTGTTCAGTTGTTCCTGACTGCTTTCTTGTGTGCTTTCACGTGTTTTGAGTGATTGCTTTCGCACCAACCGCACGGTACTTTAATTTTTGTGTGCTTTCATAGTTGGTCAGATGATGAGATGAAGCTTGGCAAACGATTGCAGGCCTTCTTTGAGACGACGAAGACCGCGCCACGAATTTGAGGCCCGTTTGATAATACTAGTAGGTTAAGGATTTTGAGATAATATAGCAGATTCTCAAAGTTTTATCTCTCCGAGTCTTAAAATCATGGAATTCACTTCACGCTAAATGATCCAGATTTCTGGAGTGGAATCTCCAGTCATGCAAAACGGCACCTGAGTGAACAATAATCAGTTTCAGTTGTTTTGGTTTCCGATCCCCCATCCCCAAGCCACAGACTGACAAGTTGCGTCTTGGATCCGTCAGAAATCTGCAGAGTAAACGGAAATCTGAGACCGAACAATAATCTGACAGCGCAAGTGTTTCAGCTAGAGTTATAGATGCAATTACAAGTATAGAGTATGTTTATCCGGCGTATACCATCTTTCCGTCAGTGTCAAGCTACTCAAACAAAAGATCCAAAATGGCCTAAATCATTGCACCCACGTCAGATACGTTGAACTCCACAGTTTTCCTTATCTTTTGTGTACGTCTCACTACTCATCGCTGAGTCACCGGAGAGTCAGTCCCCCACCCAATCATGCAGCGAGAGACGTCACGGGCCCATGGGTGTGGAGAAAGCCCGTGGTCCGTGGAGGCGCAGATCCAACGTGTGTCGAGTCACCAGCTGCCTATGCCTCGTTGTGCGTGACTCACCGCCTGCGCAGCAGCCAGCAGCAGTGTCGCACGGGGTATGGCCCGCCGTCCACGCCAAAACCAGAGCCCCCGCATGCACTTTTAGCCTGTGTTTAGTGGGACGAAATATGAGAATTTGCTTCCTACTATTTTCGTTTTTATTTGGTAATTAATATTCAATTATAAATTAATTAAGCTCAAAACGTTTGTGTCGCGATTTTAAACCAAACTATGCAACTAGTTTTTTTTCGTCTACATTTAATGCTCCATACACGTATCGTAAGATTCGATGTGATGGCTACTGTAGCATTTTTTGAGAAAACTTTTTGAACTAAGGTGTTGTTTAGTTGCACTTCATTTTGCAAAATTTTTCAAAATTTCCCATCACATCGAATCTTTGGACGCATGCATGAAGCATTAAATATAAATAAAAAAATAAAACTAATTACACAGTTTAGACGAAATTCACGAGACGAATCTTTTAAGCCTAATTAGACTATGATTAGACACTAATTACCAAATAACAACGAAAGTGCTACAATACCATTTCGCCAAAAAAATTACCAACTAAACACAGCCTAAACGCCCAACAACTGTGTGACGCGATTCGAAAGCTTCCCATCGTCTTGTTATTCTTTTCTTTTATTAGATTTGCTCAAATGGATTTGCTTGATATTTATTTTTTTGTCGGTCAATTTTCACGTAATATCACACACACATATATATATATATATATATATACACTACATAAACATCACAAAATGCATCACAGAAACGTTATAAAATACCTCACATCAGTGGCAGAGCCAGCTGTATGGCGAGGTCTGGCCTCCGCCATACCTAAAATGTATAGAAAACACTAGTATAATATGTGTATATACGGTTATATACATGAAATACAAATATTGAAATATACATGTCTGTTGGCCTCCGCCACTGTGCACGGATGGATTTTGTTTGTGGGCTGGTATCTCATGGGCCTACCTGACTACGTCAAGAGCCCACGGCACTGTCCACGGAAGGAAGCTATCCAGCCTTCCTGGCTGATCGACTGCTCCAGGTTTCAGTGCCCGCCGCGGCGACGCCCGATGCCCGACGCCGACGGTTCGTATTTTCTTAAGACCAAAACCTATCGGCTATCGCACATCCAAAAACGGCGGCGCATCAAGTGCAGAGGCGGCGAGCCGGTGATCGACGACGGCGAACGTCTGTCGGCTTTGAGTCTGACATATGAAGGAATCGACATAAAAAATGGCAGAGCAGATACATAATGAAAGGTATTTTATATTTTGGATTATAATTACTAATTAGATTATCTTTTCGTGTTAATTAATTTATCTAGGCTATATACTGAGCGGGACTTGATCACACTGAAATTAAGAAATAATTTCAAAAAAAGAAGAAGAATGCCATTGCCAAGGTCTGCACCCAAATAAAACTTTATTATGGGTATGTATTTGTTCAACGACAATATTTATTTAGTGAGGTATTTTATGTGCCAATGCTTTACTTTCAGAAATGCTATACAACACACGTGTGTTTTAGCACAAAAAACACATGGATTTTTGTTCACCGGATCGTTGTCTCGGTTTGTCTGCGTCCGTCAGACCTGCCAAGCCGTGGTCGTGTCAGGTAAGCCCTCCTGCTCGTTCCCTTCACCGCCCCGGTTCGTTCCGCACAGCAGCCGCGCCTCTCCGCCCCTGATCGAGCTCGTGCGCGGCGCGTGCACGCCATGGTCGCCGCCGTCCTCTTCCTTCGCTAGAGCTCGAGCTCCTCGCCGGATCTGCGTCGGGCCCTCCTCCATGTCGAGTGGGACCTACTAGAAGAGGAGGACGTCCTTGTCGCCGTCGTCGGAGGCCATGGATTTCCTCGCCGGAGATGCGCTCCACCTCCTCGCTCGAGCTCCTCCGCTGTCGTACCCGAACCGCCGGAGCTGCTGGGTGGTGGTGGTGCCCCACGACGCGACGACCCATGACGAACGGTCACGCAATGGAACCAACCGCTTTGTAATTTGGAGTTTTTCCCGCCGCCATGCCATTAAGGCCGCGCTCGGCCATGGTTGAGGGTAGCCCTCCGACCGCCCGTCCCGAACCAATTCACCTGCACCACTAGCATCGCTTTCACTCCCTCTTCACCCTACGCGGCTTAACCGAACCGCTACCGCCTCCCCATCATCGCTGACGCGACCGTGCCACCACACGGCTCGGCCACACGTGGCCATCCCTTCTTCATCACCCTCTTCTCCAACGATCACCTCGGCTAGGTCCATGGTAGTCTACTGATGCTCACTCGCTAGCCGGTTAGGTCCTTAGGTGCCCTGGTTCATCGGAGCAATCACATCACCATCACGGATGGGCGCGCGCCACCATAGCTCGCTCCAATGCATCCCATCGCCCCACGTTGCTGCTCGGTGTAGGCGGTTGGACCATAGTTGAGTGTCGGCCTGACCGACGAGCCAATGCGGGTCTCTGGTGGCCACCCCATGCCACCACTCGCCGCCCCTCCGGGCACGGGTTAGCCGGGGCGCGTGTGGGACCATTCTAGGAAAGTCAGGGGGTTAAGTGAGAAGTCTTGTGAGAAGGAGAAATAGCGTTAGGACTTAGTTGTAATTTGGGAGAAGTGCGAGCTCTATTTTGCAAAAGCGCTAGCGCGCAGGATTCCCTCGCCAAGGGCCGTCTCGCCCGCGGGCCGATGTCGCGTGGGCCGCATCAGCGGGCCGCGCGTGTGTGCCGCGCAGAGAGATTTGTTTTTTGTTTTCATAAGGAATTAGAAATAGTTTTCTAATTTAATTTCTGAGCTGATCTTTGGTAATTAATATAAAATCATGTAGGTGTCCAAAAATTATGAAACAAATTTTGTTAGGTTTCTAAAATTGTGCTATATCTGTTGGTGTATTTAGTTCATATTTATATGTGTTGACATTAGGAGCTATTAAATTATTTGAGAATGCTTAATAATATTAAGTTAATTATTATAGGAAATTTTATGGTAAATTGGTGATAGCTTTAGTCCTAAAATTTTTGTAGTAGCTTCATTGTATTATTATGTGCTCACTATATTTTTTGTAGCTTTAGAATAAACTAAGCATTAGGGTAGTTAAATGCTCTTTTTTTAGTATACATTAAATCAATAGTAGAAATAAAGATATATCCTTAGTTTGCTAAGGTAAATGTGTTAGCTGAACCCAACACCTTGTTTGATGAAAATGATAGTTAGCTTAATATCTTAGAGCATGTTCGCTTGTTGGTTTTAACCAGGTCTTATCAGTCATGGTACAGTATTTTTTTCCTCTCACAATAAACCAACACCAGCCGGGCTTATCAGCCTAGAAACCAACTAGCGAACAGGTTGTTAGTCATTAGAGTTAGGTTAGTAGC